GCTCCGTCACCAGCCACTTGCTGCATGGCCCCAGCCAGCTCGCATCCCATCAGCCAAGCAACTTCTGCATGACCTCGCCAGCCAGCACAGCAGGGCAGAGCAGGACCAGGACTGGCATCAACCCCTCCAGAGGTAATTCCGGAGTGAAAATGGATCATTCCTTCCACCAACAGGCAGAGGAGGCTTCCAGTGAAAGCAGGGAGCAGGGATAGCTGGAGGATTCAGGAGAGGTGTTCAGTATGATCGTATCCAGGCGAGATGGATGCCTGGAAAGACAGACAGACAGGAGCAAGACAGAGCAAAGAATGGATTGATGCGTCTCCAAAATGTGTTTCCAGATACGATCAGACTGAACTCCTGAATTCTCCTGCATTTGCCTTCCTGCTGTTCTCTGTGAAAACGTGAGCATGGTCAAAGCCTCTGCCACAATTTGTGCTTGCTGGGATCAAGTAGGAGGTGAGAAGCTGGGCTCTCATTCACGCGCTTCCCACCGCTTGTGCCTGTATAGGCCATTGTGAAAACATCACACAAGGGCGTCAGAAGTGCTCCAGAAATAGAGCAGAATGAAAAATCATGCAAGGTTGTCTGTGAGTCAACAGCACCCTTGCTGCCAAAGAGAATGTGAAGCTGGCACGTTCAAAGAAGTTATTATTCCTCTTGACTTGGTACCTGTGAGATGCAACTGGGTATGAGCTCCAATGTGGGGCTCCCCAGAACAAGAAAACCAGCTTAAGGAAGAGACAGCAAAGAGAAGAGAGAGCTACAGGGGGACACAGAGAAACCAGAGCCCAGGTCTTCTCAGAAACATGCCTGGAAGGACAGGAGGCAATGGGGACAAGCTGCACCAGGGGAAATCCTTGCCAGGTGTAAGGAGAAAATAATTCTGTATAAGAGTGGTGCAGCCATGGTGTGGCTCTGGGACAGGGAGGTGGGGACACCTCCATCCTCTGTGACTTCCCAAACTCAATGGGACAGGGCTCTGAGCTACCTGCTGTAGCTTTGCCACCAGCCCCGCATGGAGCCAGCATTGGACCGCAGACCTCCCGAGCCCTTTCCAGCTTAAAATTTACCTGATGCTTCAGCATGCATTGTGCAATGGCAAAGTGATGATTTTAAGACGATGCTCCTGCTTATCTGACTTGGGAGATGGCCAACACCAATCCATCACCCACAGCTCGGCTCTCCCATCCAGCTGACACTCCTGTTACCAGAGCTGCCTCTGCTGACTTCATAAGTTCTGGTACCACAGGGAAACTGGAGGAGCTGAGCACTGGAGAAAGTAAATCACTGTGGAAAAAATGTGCAGGCTCCGAGGAGAAGCCTGTGTGCAAAATTACAGGTCTGCAATAGTCAGGCAGCTCCGGGATGGGGTTGCTATAATAACAGTCAGAGGGTTGTATGTTCTGGGTTACAGCCTGACAAGCAGCTCCCTTGGTTGTGCCTTCCTCTCTCCTGTAGAAGCAGAGGTTTGGGCACATGTGTTCGTGGTTTGGCCCAGTTCTTGTGTTTTTCCACTGAAGCACTTCAGTATTTTTAGGCTGAAAGGGACGGCTCTGTGCTATGCTGGAAGGATCAGAGCACTCCTGTGCAGGCAGGATGCTGTCTGCTGCCTCTGCCTGTAAAATGAAATATAGACATTAGAGTATGAGAATAAATACTGATAAAACCCTGCGGGGAAGGGTATAGCAGGAGCCATCATCCATAGTCACAACATGGCTGAGGTTGAGGGTAGGAAGAAGAGACTCCAAGCTCACCAGCTCTTGGCCCAGTGCAAAGTTCTCTGGGCTAGAAGCTGTATAGGGACCCTGCCAAAAAGGACCTGGGGCTGATCGTAGATGTCAGGTTGAATACAAGCCAGGCATCCATCTTGGGATTCAAGTAAACGACATTTACATTCCTTTAGGAGAAGTGGAGCCAGCAGATGGAGGGAAGAACAAAGCCAGCACATGCCAATGTGGGAAGGTTCCTGTGATCCAGAATACCCTGAAACAGACCCATTTGAATCATATTTTTGGCAAGGCGTCCAAAGAAGCATGGACATGGCCAGATCTGGGCTCCCAGCTCTCTGCGGCTCTGCAGGCAGCCACGACAGTGGTGGCCAGGACCTGGCTGCCTGCTGGCCCCTCGCTGGCTGCTCCCCGAGGCCTGGCCTAATGATGGCTGCAGGCAAGCTTCCGCTCGGAAAGAATTTCACATTTTCCACAAACATTATCGAAACTAGGAAATCCAGCTAGGACATCGAGTCCGAGAGGGGCTCTGGCCTCGAGTGGAGAAGAGCAGAGAGGCACAGGGATGCGATGCCTGCGAGGGAGAACCGAACCAGGAGCTGCAGGAACCAGGATGTGCAGAGGTTCCCAGACAGCAGAGACCAGGCCGTGACACCTGCTCCAACTCCAATTTATTGAACATTACAAAATACTCTGCATATATTTTCACATTAAAACAATATTCTTGCAAATAAGAGATTAAGTCTTGAGTCATTTGTGGCGCCCATGGCTACAGAAAACACTGACCCAGCTAGAGATTTAGTATGGCCCAATATCAGAAATCAAAACCAGAATAAGGCATACCAGAAATGCAAAACTATATAAAAACCTTTTAAAAACCTCATGCTCGTTTGGTGTGACGGGTGCAGAGTAGAATGACCTTTGCTGAGCCTTGCTAACAGTACGGGGGTACTGTCAGCTCACTTGCCCCACGTTGGGCTCACTCACCCAGTGCATCTGGGTGTCCCCTTGATGCCTGCTGTAGCACGCCCACATAGCTGGAACAGGCAGTTATTTACCTGCTCTGGGGCATTAACAGCCCAAATCCCCATTTTTCCCTAAAAGGAGCATCCCAAACCCTCCCGCCCTGCCAGTGCCCAGCTGCCGTGCTGAGCTTTTGCGTGACAGGCAGTTCTTGGGGAGCAATTCTGGGCCTTTGGGGTCACCCCAGGAATTGTGTGTGCCATTGCCACCGTGTCCCACCACCCTCTCAGTAGGGACTGGGGTGGCTGGGAGGCAGGTGGACCTTTGAAGACGCCCTCAGCTCTTGCCCATCACCCGTTCCTGATGTACATTCATACCTGCTGCTTGCTCCGCTCCTCGCACCATGAGCAGCCCTCCCAGCTGATGGACCCCAGGCAACTGGAGGGACTGGGACATGGGCAGGATGGATGCCAAGGATGCTGTGCAGGGCAGCTGCCTCCTAGCAAAGCCAGGAAGCTGAACACCACAGCTCACATCCAGACGACAGGCACGAGTCTGGCACAGCAGGTTGGGTGCTGGAGGAGTCCCTGTGCGTACAGATTCACTGATCCGGCTCCTCGTGGAGCCAAACCCCAGGAGCGCTGCTCCCAGTCCTGAGAAGATCATGGCCTTGCCTCTGCAGTACCCCCATAACCTGGGGAACACAGAGCTGCCACAGCAAGGAGCACATCTCTGGCTTCCCAGATGAGGTCCATGCTTGCTGTGAGGAACCAGCGCTGCAGCTGCCTTGAACCCAACGGCTTGACCGCTGGGTGTGCATGGATGGGCTCTCGTGCACCAGCCACCGCTCCCAGCCCTCTCCACAGAGGTCTCCTACTGGAGATCAGCTTGGGCTCCCACATCTGCAAGCAGTCACGGCCCATAAACCAGCACCCACACACCTCAGGGCAGCACAGCCACAACAGGATTGAGTTTGTTTGGGATCCCAGCCCTGGGAGGAACATCTCTGGCCTCCTGGCGCTGTGCAGATATGCAGGGACCAGAAGAAGGAGGTTCGGGGTCTGTGCCTCCCTGGGTGGATGGGCGCTGGTACCTGCTGCTGCAGCAGGAAGCCCAGTTATCAATCAGTTTTGCATCAGTAGGTGCACGGACAAAGTCCACCTTGGAGCACAGCTCCAGGAGGAGCACTGGGCTCTCCTGCCACTCCTGGAGGTTATGGAGACACACAAGCTTTACAACGCGAGACAGCAGCGCGGTCAGCGGGTCACAGCCCACCCACAGTCTGCTCAGAGGTGGCTTGCTCGGTTGAACTTCATCCACCTGGGCTCAGCGGTGGGCACCATCCTGCCCTGCTCCTCCGTGGCCATCAATGGCTGCAGCTCCTGCTGCTCAGGGGCATCCGGGCTGCTGTCACTCTGCGACCGGCTGCTCTTAGGGACGTGGCTGGGGAACTGGAAGCAGGAGCTCTGCTCTGGCATCGCCTGGCTGGCAGACTGGGGCTGCTCCTCCAGCACAGGGCAGGCGAATCTCCGGTGCTGAGGTCCACTCTCGATGCCTGGGGGGGAAGCGATGCTCTCCAGGGAGGAGATGCTTTGGTTCCACGCTTTCTGCATATCCACTGGCACGATTTTGGTAGTCTCCGAGGAGACGTAAACAGCAAGATCAGCCTGGTCTCCTTTCCACGGCAGCTCCTTCTCTGCCAAGGTGGGCGATGGCGGGATGATGCAGGGGCTGGGGCAGACGTCCAGGCTGCCTGGGGATGCAGAAGGAGGGACAGTGAGAGGGATCTTGCTCCCTCCCTGGGCCCTGCAAACATTGCATAACCAACTACTACTGGATGGCCAGCTGGCCCAGGCATGCAGGAGCCACCAGGGAGGCTCTGCTGTGCCTCCAGAGCCACAGAGAACAGGGATTCTCCCATTCATGCACTGCTGACTTTGGTTTTGCCCAGGCCAAGGCAACTTTGCTTGCCAGGTAGAGGAATGGACAAGGTGTGGGAGCATAGGTGCCTACCAGGAGTAGTCTTTCCCTGCAGGACCTCATCGGTGGCTCGAGCGATGAAGACAATCCCTTCATCATCCTCTCTTTCTGTCTCCGAGCTATCACTCTCCTCCTCCTCTGAGCTGACCATCATCAGGACAGGAGCTGCAGCCAGATGGAGGAGTTGGTTTGGAGGATGGGGCACCTGGTGGGGGAAGGACTGCACCCATGGGAGAAGGATGTGGTGCTAGTGCAACCCTGGGTGCTGTCATGCCACCGAGCTGGCAGTGGGCAGGCACCGTGGGCTGCTCCATCCCACCCCACCAGGTCTCCTTCCCAGCCTTACCCGCCTCCTGCCAGGGGACGCTTCTGTGCGTCTTCCCGTTGGGTGTGTCGCTGGTCAGAGAGACGTTCTTCTGCGAACGAAGAGGGACCGGCTGGGACCTGCCCCGTGCAAACCCCTAACCCCGACCCAGGTGGCACTGCAAGCCAGGGTAAGCCCAGGGACACAGATTCCCACCCTGGCTAGATGACATTGGGCAGTGAGTGGTTCCTAGTCCTTAGGCATTGCATCTTCATGGCCCTACAACAAACAGCTCAGCTGTGATGGCTTCAAGAGCCTCCAAACAAGAGAAGACACCTAAGGCTCAATTTAAGGCACGGTGCCACACTTCTAAGCCTGCATCCACACTGACGTTTAGGCTACTTTATACTGAGTGCTCTTGGAAAACATGGGGCTCCTCCAGAGCTCGGGACTGATTTGCCCAGGGAAAAACCACCTCACGGCAGTGCTGGCATGGGGGGGACATGTGGACATGTGCCACCTGCAGCATACGCAGGACTGAGATGAGATGAGATGAGATGAGATGACCTGAGATGAGATGACCTGAGATGAGCTGAGCTGCTTTCTCCACTGGCTCTGGAGCTGCAGGTGCCTTGCAGCACCTCACCTACACCCCAAACCTCACTGTCTGCATCCTGGGAGAGGCCAAATCTCAGACCTAGGAAAGGAGCAGGAGGTTGGGGAGTGCTTGCCTTTTTCCTGCCCTTTTCCTTCAGCCTGGCCTTGCTCTTGGAGGAGCAGACATTGTGCTTTGTGGACTTGAAGGTCTCCAGCCGCCTCTTCATGTTCTGCCGGAAGATTTCTTTATCTTGGCGCTCTTGTTTATCTGGAGAGATGAAGTGACGGCTGTAGCTGGCCTTGTACTGGCCGAGGGAGAGGCAAAGAGACACAGGGTGAGCAGCTGGCCCCACGGAGCATCCTCCATCCCTGCTTCTCTTGTGGGTGCCGCTACACTGGGGGTGAGCCGCACGCCACGGCTGGGGAGCTCTCCCCCGCCGGCGGGGTTTGTAGAGGCTCCCTCGCAGCACGTGGTGCATGGCAGCATCCTCCTTGTCCCGCCGGCTCCGCACCGTGTCGATCACCTGCAGGTCCAGGCACGCGCCGCTTCCACTCTCCCTCCTTGGGGAGAGATGGAGATGATGGAGATGCTGGGCTCCATGCCCGCAGCAGCGGCACAACTCACCCCAGTGGAAGGGGGTGGCTGCGGGGGTCCAGCGAGGTCTGTCCAGGGTCTCAGAGGGATGTTTGTACTCACAGGAGGTTTGTGACTGATGACTCCGACATGGATGTGCGGCTGGGCATGGAGGGCAGCGCCAGTTTGGCAGCTGAGAGCACGTGGCCACCCTGGGAGGTGGGAGGGCAAGGCTGGCATCGGGCAGTGGGGACCCAGCTGGGCTAAGGGGGGTCCCCACCGCCTGGCCAGAGGGGATGTAGAGTGGCCATACATGGGGCCAGCCAGCTCCTGCTGGGGCCATCCCACCCCCTGGCCTGCTCATCCCTACCTGGTCAACGAAGCTGATAGCATCACGGATGTTCAGCTTGTAGTAGACATCCCAGATCTCATCCCGCAGCCTGTAGGCAGATTTCCGCATCAGGAGCTGGCTCAGGTACTTCTTGTCAAACTGTTCCCACCTGCCACAAGATGAACACATGGATGGTTTAGCTCCCATAGAGTACCACAGCCAGGGACGCCCTGCCCGTGCGACACTGAGTGTCCAAAGCACGGCGAGAGCGGGACCCAGGGACATGCTGCCAGGCAGAGCAAGAGGGGAGGGGACATTCTGACCCCTAATCCGTGCCCAAGGGGAAGCCAGAGACCCACAGGTCTGTGGGAGGCGATGGGAACGGGAGTAGGGCTGAGGCGGCTGCCCCGCTGGAGAGCTTCCCCTCCAGGAAACAGCCTTTTCTCATCCTTTTCCTGTCACCGTGCTGCAGATAAACACTGCCCAGGCTTCAACAGGGCTGTTCCCTCTTCAGCACCCAGCCCAGCTCCATCCATGGGGAGGCACAAGGCCGTGACCACCACCACGGCTGCCCCACAGTCCCCCAGCAGCTCTGGTACGGGCAGGCAATGCCAGCTCTCACAGCGTCCCCAGCCTCACCTGCCTGACCTCCCTCTGGAATGCTTTTGGGGCCTTGGTCTGCTGCACAGCAGCAGCCAGATGGTCTCCTTCCAGATGGGCTGATGGACATACATCCTTGCCTACATCAGGGGTAACCTCCAGCGGGGACCCTGCAATGTCCCCAAGGCTGGCACGCATCCCCCATCCACCTGATGGCCAGCAGAGGATCCTGGCTAAGACACTCACTTGTCCCGCCAGTAGTGGTAGCCATGGTGCCCCACGATGTCCTCCACTGCTGCCAGGATGTGGTCAAAGGCCTTGAGCGAGGAGAAGAGGGTGAGGGCGGTGCCAGGGCTGCAGGTGCCCTGGGGGTGCTGAGGCTGGGCATCGCCCTCGCCCAGTCCCAGTGGTGTGGGGAGCCAGGCGGACTCCATTGCCAGCACCTACGTGCTCATGCAGCTCCTCGTTCAGCGTGGGCTTGTGGTGGTCGCTGCGCTTCACCTTCAGCCATGTCACCAGGGGTTTGATGGTGAGGCCCTGGAACGGCAGGAGAAGGCAAGGGAAAGACTGGGAGGGTGGAGAGGGTGCACGGCTGGGGCACAGGGAGCAGAAGCAGCATGAAGTGACTGGGGACAGCAGCTGTGCTGGCCATGCATGTCCCTACCAACCCGACCCCTTGCACCCGGGACCTGGGCGATGGTCCTGTGTCCCGACAGGCCACAGTCATGTCGTACCACTCCAGTCCCCTTCCCGTAGGCTCCTATCCAGTCCTGGGGTGCAGGAACCCCAAGCCCAGCAGCTTTGCAAAGAGAAGAGCCTGGCCAGGCACACGCCATAGCTGCTCTTGGAGCCGGTCCCAGGACAAGAGACCAACAGGGAAACAACACAGGCCATGGTCCTGCCATCGTGACAGCCACCAGAGCGGTCCTGCATACCAGCCTGGTGATGGATGGGGTGCCAGGAAGCACTGAGGGCCAAAGGTGGCTTGAAAAGAGGTACTTGCCCCAAGCACATGTCCCCAAGCGCCTCCAGGCCAGCTCTGGGGCAAGAAGGCAGCACTGAAGGAAGGGACAGTGCCCACCCTCACCTGCACAATGACAGTGAAGAACACCACCACGATGGTCGTTGCCACAAAGTAGTCCTTGGCTTTCACCTTTGCCCTGTCCAGCAGGATGACCAGCGCGAAGGCCACGGCGCCACGGAGGCCACCGTATGACATGACCACCTGGTCGATCCTGTCCAGAGGGATGAGGCGGAAGCGGTTGAGCACGTAGGTCTGGAGGACAACACCTAGGGAAGAAGGAGAAGAGCCTGGGATGCCAGCAGAGCCCTGCCTGCTCCTGGAGACAGGGCAAAGCCCAAGCCAGGAGCCGTGGCTGGCCTCATGCCCCAGCCTTTCTTGGGGAATGCCACTTTTTGGCATGACAAGGGCTGGGTGCTACCAGTCAGAAGCACAGCGGGGCAGACTGACCCACAGCTCTGAAGAGCAGGATAAAGAACAGAGTGCCCAGCACCAGTGCAGTGTCCCATGCCCATTTGGAGGTGTCCACAGCTGAGATTCCCAGAAACATGAAGATGATGGTCTCTGAGCTGCTGGCCAGCGTCTTCATGGTGTACTTGACGGTGGTGCGGGATTTCTGGGAGATGTTGGCTTCCACGTACTTCTTGCAGCAGATCCCACAGAAGGTGACTCTGCAGAGTGACAGAAGGAGCTGGCATGACCCTACAGTGGGATGAGGAGTGGGTCTGCTCACCACCACTTGCTGCTTAGCTCTGCACCCCCAATTTCCTGGACCCCTTGCCAGGGGATACCCCAGTACTCACGCCAGGATGGAGGAGAGCGAGACCATCTCGGCAGCAAGGTACGCAACGTAGGCCAGGAGGAAGACGAAGAGCGGCTCGATGATGCGCACGCGCTTGGTGAACCGCGTGATCAGGGCCAGGAGAAACGCAAAGAGCAGCCCCACAGCCGTGCCCCCCAGGCTCACCAGGAAGAAGGAGGCTGGCGGCGGGGAGAAGACTCATTCACACCATAAGCAACTGAGCCCCACAGCCATGCCATGCTGGGCTGGCCAAGCCCCGTGCTGCCACCCAGGTCCCCACCAAAGCATCTCATAATGACAGCTGATGTGTGACTGCTGGGATGGAGATGACAGAGCTGTGGTGTTCAGTGCCAACCCCACAGCACCTGTGCTCACCCCTCATGCTTCTACCCCAGAGGAAGAGTCGGAGGGGCTGGTGGAGCACATACTCACCTACCCCCTTCACGTAGTCCGTGGCATGGATGTGGGCTGGGCCCAGCTCCACAAAAGAGTTGAAGACCTTGTACAGCACCTGCAGGCAAGGCAAACTGCTAGGGGAAGGCAGGGCAACACCCTGAGATGGGACAGCACCTGCAGGGAGGATGGACCCTGAAGAAGAGGCATCGCCTGCCCCAAATCTGGCCCCAGACAGCTCATCTCTGCAAGCAAATTCCCCCATGGCCAGGAAAGCAGACTTGGAGAACACGGTATGGGTCTGCCCTGGTGTGGGGACATCACCTGCATCCTCTGCCCATCCTGGGGGACTTCAGCATCCTGGCCCACATCAGGCTCTACTTTAGTGTCCCCAAGCTCCAACTCACCACGGTGACAGCATCGTTCAGGAGAGACTCGCCGAACACGATGATGAAGAGGGTCTCATTGACATGGACCTCTTCAAAGACGGCCAGCACTGCCACGGGATCCACAGCCGAGATGAGGCTGCCGAAGAGCAGGAAATCCATCAGCCCAGCCTCAACTCCTGGATCTGCTGGGACAGAAGGACTGAGATCAGACAGACCATCCGCCCCAGAGCCCCTCTCACCAGGCTGAAAGAAGCCTGTCCCTCATCTGCTCCCGATGATTTGGCTGCAGCATCCCAACTTGGAGTGCAGTGAGCTGAGCCCAGGAGTGCTCCCAAAACTCCGGGATCCCCTAGGCAAAGCGGGGCTCAGCACATCCTTGCTGCAGCATGAAGAGAGCAGGGCTTGGACACCTGCCCTGGCACCCAGGTGCATCACTGTCCTCCTGGCAGATACACACTGAAGGGGGCTCACCAGCCCCACCTCAGATCCAGGCATCAAGCGGTTCCTTGGGGCTCAGGAGTCTCAAAATGCAGCCTAGACCAGCCAGGGTCAGTGGCTACAGCCAAGGACAGGGGACGCGGCAGCCAGCCAGCAACGCTAGCCAAGGTCGGCGACAAAAATAGCCAAGACATGAGTCAGCTCAGTGCTGAGCAGGGCCCGTGCGTCCTGCATGCCTGATGGTCCTGCCAGAGCACTATCCCCAGGACAACAGCACCCCGCTCCTGCAATAAATCCTGGGAATCCACAGCAGGACTGAGCAGTGGGCTCTGAACTTGGGGGTGCTATGCACCCTCCAACCCATCTTTTGGGGATATGACCCAAGCCGGGCAGCCCTGTGCACCCACCCATGAGCCCGGCCCGGTGCAGCCCCCAGAGCGCAGTGCCGGTGGTGAAGGAGTTCCAGAGCGTGCCCACCACCGCGTAGGTGAGGATGGCGCCGATGTTGTCAAAGAAGAGCCGGCTGGGCATGAAGTAGCCCGAGTCCAGGACGATGGGGGGCAGAAGGAAGAGGAAGAACATGTTGGGCTCCAGCTGGTACTCGGCTTTCTTCGCCACGGCCAAGACGATGCCCCCCAGGCCCAGGCCCAGCAGGATGAGGAGGCAGCTCTCTGGAACGATGGATGTCACCTTCCTTGACAGGTGGAAAACTGGAAAGAAAGGAAAAATGAGAGTGTCAACCAAACTGGACAGACCATCCCAGATCCACACGCTCCACAGAAGGGTTGGCTGATGCTTGATGGACCTCGGGAAGGAAAAGGGAGCACCTAAGGCTGCTTCGTGGCTGTGTGTGCGCAGAAGACCTTCTAGCTAGCTCCCAGGTCAGGATTTCAGGTCCCTGACTCTTCAGGGTCTCTCCTCTCCAGCCACTCTCTAATAAGCCAAGCAGCCAGGCATTTTGCTTTTCTCGGCCTCTGCTATCTGCACTTAAAGGATAAAAGCAGCCAGCAAGCACATTCACAAGCAACGCCGGCTGCTGTTGGAGCGAAGGCATCCTGGTTTAGAAGGACACTTTACCTCACTCGGAGATGAGGATGCTCAGCCCTGGTGCTGGGGTGACCTTGTTTGCAGCCGCCCGAGCAGGCAGACGGAGCAGCATGCAAACCACTGCAGCACCAGCCAGTCAGCCGGTCTGCGTGCCAGAACACACCCTTCTCAGCACCCGCTAACCTACCTGCATGCAAAAAACCAGGCGCACGGGAGCTGCAGACTTACAGATGCTTTGAATAATCAGTTTATTCCACGCGAGGTTTGAACCAACTGCCATGGAAGAGGATATATCTTTTACAGCGAGCAGAGTGTGCCCTGGTATTCATCCATCAGCTGTGGCAGCGAGCCTGCAGCTCAGGCACAAGCCAGCCAGCACAGGGGACTCACTGCTCCAGGCAGCCTTGTCCCCAAGGCCAGGGCATCCTGTGCAATCCCAAATCACTCCATCTTCCAGGTGGGCAACCCCCCGTCCCCGCAGATTTCTTCTCCCTGTATTTTTGCTGCCTCCAAAAAGTTTGGGAAATGTGACAGCAGTTTTGCTCCCACATCACTGAGTCCTGCCATTGCCTGTGACATCCAGCCCAGCTCTGCAGTACAACTTGGCCACCAGACAAAGAAACCTTCTCCTGGGGAGTGGGTTCCTCCAGGCACTGCCAGAGCCATCTCTGTCCTTCAGCACCCAGCAGGTACAAGGGCAACCTGTACCTGCTGACCCAAGCCCTGGTCCCTGAAGCCCTTTGGCTGGATTAAAGGCCAAGTCATCCCACCAGAAGGAAAGCTGTCCTGTGGTCACACATCGACCCTAGGTCACTTCACTTCTTCCCTCCTTAAGACCCCCATGGACAGACCATAGGTCTGCCTAGCCCAGGGTCCTGTCTTCAGTGGTGTAGACCTGGAGAGGAGCCCAGGAACAGGCAGTGCTTCATCAGTAGATTTCCATGTCTCTATGCCCTTGTCATTCTCCTCTGAACCTGTCCCAGTCCTGCTCTATCCTTTTTGGGACCAGTCCCAGTGTTCCTGAGATGCAGACACCCTGGGAACCGAGGTCATGGCCTCCTGATGTTCTTGATTTCTCCTTTCCTAGCACCTTACCTGATTTGCTTTCCTTTGCTGCAGCTGAGCACTGAATTAGAGGAGAAAATTCAATGTCAAAGATCTGGTTCCTAACCAGAGACATCTTGGAGCCCACCACTGTGCATGCTAAGGGTCGCTTTCCCTCTCATTAGGACCTCCACAGTGACCTCCTTGGCATGGTATGACCTGTCTGTGCCATCCTGGTGAACCCTGGCACTGCTTCCCTGCCATAACACACTGGGAATAACAGGGCAAGGGCAGAGTGTTGAGCACTAGGGCAGCGTGATGGGCAGCTCCATCACCAACCATTTCAAGGGGGAAGAGCCTCAGAGCATCCAGACACCTCCAGCCGCTGCTGCGATTCAGGACAATATGGACACTACAGCCCTCCAAGCAAACCCATGGCCCAGAGAAGCTCTGGCTGAGCTCCAGCCCAGCCGAATTCCTGCTCAGTGACCACACAAGCCATGGCAGAGCCCAGTTCACCCCACACGAGCCCGGCGAAGGCAGCGCCAGTGGGCGAACGGCGCTTGCTCAGCCTCTGCAGCAGGCTGCGAAACCGCTTCCCGCCCACGGGAACAAAGCTCTGAAGTTTTCAAGAAGGGAATGGGGCGTCCAGCCCCTTTCTGCACGCTTGGGAGCATTGCCAAGATCCCTGCTCCCCGCTCCGGCAACCCATCTGCACTCCCTGTGCTGCAGAGCTATGCCCTGGCTGGCTGGAGAGACCCAGGAGAGCCTGCAGAGATGCTCTGGGGACATGGAGACATGGGTCTTGGCTGTCACCCATCATTCTTTTTCCTAAGCCAAAAACTCAGGCAAAGAAGGGAGCAGCATGGATGGGAAAGACCCAGCTTGTCCCAAAATCCTCTGGCTGAGGGGGGATGCTGCCACCCTCCCAAGCAAATGGCAGCACACGAGCTCCTCTGCACCACGGGGAGCAGCCAGTGGGGACGGGTGGAACGAGCTCTAATTTTACACACGCTAGTCAAGAATTTCAGCATTAAAGGTTCCCACAGCAACGGTAACTTAGCCACATGTGAATTAACTTCAGAGCAATAATCCATGCTCAGGCATCCATAATATGGGGTTTGCCATTGGGAGGACACGGGGCCTAAAGCTGCTCCGCTCCTCTGGTGCTTGGGAAATGGTGAAACACCTAAACCAAGACACAAACAGTCAGAGACAGAGGTGATGGGGTCAAGGGAAGGTGTGCTGCAGGGAGAGAGGGTTGCAACCCATGGGATGCTGCTGGGTGGAAAAACATCTCTCTGCTGGCAAACCCCTGCCCATGGGGCAGCAGCGGGTGAGGTGCAGGTTTGGGTCCTTCATTTCCCTCAGCCCCACATCCTGTTCAAGCCAGTCTGTGCTCTGACCAAGTACAGAAAAGGCAGCAAAGCCCGGACGATGCCTTGCTGTGCAGGAAGGCAACACCCAAGCCAGTTTTTCCCCGCCCCGGGTTTTTGCTGGCCCAGGGCACCCCGGCATCGTGAGCGCCTCTGAGAACAGAGCCCGCAGTGTCACATCCCCATCGCCCAGGCGCGGGGCCGCTTCCTCCCCTGCAGTCACAGGGCTGTGAGCTGGCAGCCCAGCACCGCAACCACAACGGCTCCTCCTCGCCCGCCCACGCCCCGCCCCCCCAG